GATCCACCTGCCTCGGCCTCCCAAAGTGCTGGGATTACAGGGGTGAGCCACTGTGCCCAGTCAACCCTGTCTCTTAAAAAAAAAAAAAAGAAAAAAAAAGAATGAGAATACATGTGTTTTCTAAGGGAAAAATAAAATTAAAAGTTGAAAGATTTTTTCTTTTCTTCTTTTTTATTTTTGTTAAAGAGATGGGGGTCTCACACTGTCCCCCATTCTGGAGTGCAGCAGTGCTATCACGGCTCACTGCATCCTCGACCTCCCAGGCTAAAGCAGTCCTCCTGCCTCAGCCTCCTGAGTAGCTGAGACTACAGGCACATGCTGCCCTACCCAGCTAATTTTTAAAAAATTTTTGTAGAGATAGGGTCTCATTGTGTTGCCCAGGCTGGTCTCAAACTCCTGGGCTCAAGCGATCCTCCTACCTCAGTTTCCCAGAGTGCTGGGATTCCAGGCTTGAGCCACCCCACGACCAGCATCATTTTCATTTTCAAAGGGAAATGTTTTCATTATTAGACTAACTTCAGACTGCAATATATGTTTTAAGAGAGTGTTTTTCAGCCACAGGCTAATGCTGCTTTTTTGGTGAAAAATGAGTTTTAACAGCATGACCTTTAGAAAGAACCAACAGTTTTACAAATCATTCCCCAGATATGATCTCTTATGTGGTCTCTCCGTTTCTCCAGCAAGCCATCTATACAGTGTATTCAGTTGTGTCTGGTTCTGCTCTTGTCCTCTGGTGGCAGCCACACCATAATGGCCACCTGCTCAGTGCTGGCTCCTGGAAGTCCCCAGAGTCTGAATGTGAACCTGGTCCTCCTCTGCCCTCATCCTGAGATTACGTCAGAGTTAATAGAAGACGTTTAGATGCTGCAGAGTGATCTTTAATTATTAAGTCTAATCCATTTTCTTTTGGCTTAACTAATAAAAGATAACAGTTAATGTTATTTAAATTGTGTCTCTTAGTAGGGGCAGGTTCTTCACTCTACTTCTAGAAATCAAGATGGTCCTTAATGCTTTCTGAAGTTCACTTAAGAGTTGCTCTCTTGTTGTTGTTTTTTTTTTTTAAGTGGTTGCCTTGTCCAGAGTAGCAGCATGTGGAGATTAAGAAATATTAATCCTCCAAAATAATGACCTTTCATTTTCAGGTGTTTAAGGATAATTGCTGCAAGAGAGAAATTCTGGCTCTTCAGATCTATTGTCGGAATGAAAGCAGAGGTTGTGCAGAGCAGTTAACGCTGGGACATCTGCTGGTGAGTAGCAAAGGGACACTGGAAGCTTTTACATGAAGGAATTCGAGTCCCTTACATCCAGCTGATTAAGTGGTCAGTAGGATGTGGCACTTTAAGATCATGTTGACATTAGTTTTTCAAAACACAGCCAAATAGGAAAGCAGTCAGAACCACTTGAGTGTAAGTTGTTATTTTTATGACATCATTGGCAGAATTGTCAACTGGTTTTTAAACACTCCCACCCTACTTAGAATAGAGAAAATCTGAACTGGATTTTAATTTTGGAAGGCCCATTAAAACCTTTTTTCACCATGAAATTCTACATAACTCCTTATTTTTTTAATTAGTCCCATATTTTAGCTTAGAAAATTATTTGAACTGGAATAAAACAAAGTTCTTAGCAGATACTCATTTTTTCTGGAAGCAGAGTTGACTTAATTCTTCAACAATAATATAGTTTGAGTAATCATGAAGTAGAATCTGAAATTCATTGTCTCTTGGCGTATTTGTTACTCTTTGCTATGAAAAACTGGTCTAACAGGTTAGAACATTTCTTTATGGTTTCATTGCATAGAGATTAGAATTTGGTATTTCAGATTTAGGATTTTTTCCGAATTAAGAACATTGAATGGTCTGTCTTACAGGTGCATTTAAAAAATGATTGCCATTTTGAAGAACTTCCATGTGTACGTGCTGACTGCAAAGAAAAGGTCTTGAGGAAAGACCTGCGAGACCACGTGGAGAAGGCGTGTAAATACCGGGAAGCCACGTGCAGCCACTGCAAGAGTCAGGTTCCGATGATCGCACTGCAGGTGCGGGTCTTCCCATTCCACAGGCCTTTCGCTCAATTCCTATATGATACGTTCCACAGGCCTTCCGCCCAACTCATATATAATCTACTCCACAGGCCTTCCACTCAACTCATAGATAATCAATTCCACAGACCTTCCACTCAGCTATAGATAATCCCTTCCACAGGCCTTCCCTCGACTCATAGATAATCTGTTCCACAGGCCTTCCGCTCAGCTCATAGATAATCCATTCCACAGGCCTTCTCAGCTCATAGGTAATCCATTCTACAGGCCTTCCCTCAACTCATAGATAATCTGTTCCATAGGCCTTCCGCTCAGCTCATAGATAATCCGTTCGACAGGCCTTCTGCTCAGCTCATAGATAATCCGTTCCACAGGGCTTCCCTCAACTCATAGATAATCTGTTCCACAGGCCTTCCGCTCAGCTCATTGATAATCCATTCCACAGACCTTCCGCTCAATTCATAGATAATCCGTTCCACAGGCCTTCCACTCAGCTCATAGATAATCCGTTCCACAGGCCTT